ACCTTCTTTGCTCTTGCTGCTTTTAATATTCTCTCTTTGTCTTTTGCTCTTGGAATTTTAATTATGATGTGTCTTGGTGTGCTCCTCTTTGGATTCCTTTTGTTTGGAGTTCTGTGCACTTCCTAGACTTGTAAGTCTAATTCTTTCACCAGGTGGGGGAAGTTTTCTGTCACTATTTCTTTCAGTATGTTTTCGATATCTTGCTCTCTCTCATCTTCTGGGACCCCATAATTCTGATGTTGGTTCGCTTTAAGTTGTCCCAGAGGTTTCTAACATTATCTTTAATTTTCTGGATTCTCTTGCCTTCTAGCTTTTGTGGAGGAGTGTCTTCTGACTCTTTATGTTCCAAATTTTTTACTTGATTCTTGCGATCTTCCATTCTGTTTTTAGGACTCTGTATAATATTTTTTATTTCAGTCAATGTATTCTTTATTTCTTATTGATCCCTTATCATTTCTTGTCGATTCCTTATTAATTCTAGTTGATCCCTTCTCATATCCTCATAGGTTTTATCCATCTTTTCTAGGAAATTCTTGAAAAACCTTATAAGCATAGATTTGAACTCTATATCCAGTTGCTTTTTGTCCTCCATTTCTTTCGTTTGTGATCCATTTCGTCTTGGCATTTTCACAACTTCCCTGAGTTGGTAGCCTTAAAAGTCTCTGTGTTCTGCTTGGATGGGGTGGGGTTTCAGGGAGAAGCCTACAGTTTTGGCTTCTATCAGCCCCGCCCTATGCGGCTCCTGAGTCTCAGGGTCCTTCAGTACTCCTTGCAAGCGCCTCTGAGAGAAAGGTGCCCTTGATTTTCGCCTGCTGCCAAACAGTCTAGTCTCTCCCCCAATGAGCCCGGAACTGGGGTTCAGTTCAGTTGGAAGTGGGATTGGAGGTGGCGTTCAGAGCAGACTGGAGCCCCAGTCTCCTTCCCGCCAGGGCAATCCCGCGGCACAGCCGTCAATCCCGTGTGCGCGCCTCTGGGACCTCCTTTCCGCTCCCCCGGGTTCCACCTTACAGCCCAGCTTCCTCTGTGTGAGCCTGGGTCCCCGGGGTCTGGCCTAGAACAGGGGTTCAGAGCAGTTGGAACTGGGGCCCAGCACAGTCGGAGTTTTATCTCCTTCCCGCTTGGGAACACCACCCAGGCACTCAGCCTCCCTCCTCTCCGGCTCCGTCCTCTCTGCGCGCGCCGCGTGTCTCCGTACCTTAGGCTTTTCCAGTTCCTCCACTCTTCCTTCTGGTTTTTTCCTTGCTTCTCGTTGTAGAATTTTCAGTCAGTCGACTTTCCTGTAGTTCTGGGTGATGTCCATTTTATATTTTAGTTGTATTTTATTGAAATTGTTGTGTGCGGCTGCGGCTAGGTGTTTACCTGTGCAGCCATCTTGGAACGACTTTCCCCGGTGTCATTTAAATTTTAAAAAGCCCATTTAACTTATAGTTTTCTACTTATTAGTCAATATCGATAGTTTCCTTACCATTTTATTCATTAAATTTTTTCTAAACAACCTTGAAAAAAGTCTTTAATGATATACAGAACTAAAATAAATCCAAGAAGATTTTTTAAAAACTACAACTATTTTACCCTTTTGTCCTTTTTTATAACTTTATTTTCATTGTTGATACTATCACAGATACCGCCATTTATCTCCCCCACCCGCCCTTTGCCCATCTCCAGTCAGCCCCTGCCCCCTCTGGCCATCACCACACTGTTGTCTGTGTCCATGGGTTATACATATATACCTCCTTTCCTTACCTCCTTTCATCTCCAAGGTGGGAAATTTTGTACAGTTTAAAGACTTTGATATTCTTGGATAGAATAAAAAAGCTAATGGGCCTGAGGGGACTACCATTCTGTTTTAAAGCAATGTCTATGCAGTAGAGAAAAAATTGCTCCATTTTTTCAGATACCTAATCTCTCTGAATCAAAGAACACAGTGTGAGTATGGGGAAAAGGGTTTCCATTAGAGTGGTTCTCTTAAAAAACTCAAGTTGCCTGTTAATTATATTTAAAAATCCAATTCTATTTACCGGTCTTTTAGTGCTTTCATTTCTTATAATGATAAATAAATGGTTGGTCTTAATTTTCAGTGAAGGTTAATGTGTAACATTATGTCTTTATTCTGCCCTTCATTTGAAAGTTAGTGGGTAGATGGAAGAGGCTTCATTAAGGGTTGTTATTAAAAATATTTTTTTTCTGGATCCAATATTCTTAAATTTAGTGAGGGAAGGAAGTAGGTAAAGGTAACTAACTTAAAAATACTGACATTCTGATAGTTTTTCCTGAAGCACATTTTATTTTCTATTATTTCTTTAAAATGTTTACTCAGCACAGGGAATTAAAAGCTTTATGTTCGGATTTGTGGAAAGAAATATATAAACTAAAAAGTAATTTAAAAAAAGGCATATCAGGTCAACTCTACTCACTTTTTAAAACAGAGGCCAGAAGCCACGAAAACCAGTTTGCATATTTTTGGAAGTAGAACTGTGCATTTTTATGCAGAAATACCTTAGAGTAAAAGAACTCTCTTCAGAAATAGCTATGTTCAGAAATACCTTAGAAATAAAAAGTCTTTATTTCCCCTTCTTCAGATAAAATAAACTGAATCGGAAATAAAATTTTGAACATTTTAATCACACTTTCTACCTCCCATTTAAAAAGTATTGATTTTTCTCAATTTAAGAAATCATTACATTTCTTAAAAGTTACATTTGAAGTGAAATTATTTAGTGAGCTTGTTTGCATCATAAAATTGGAAGTGTAATGGCTGTGGCTAAAATCCTCCAATGGTTAGGAGTTGTAGGATGAAGTGGATTAAACAAAAGGGATTTCATGGGTAAAACATGTTTTACTTTTGAGTTAGGGCAGCTCTGACCCAGTTTTAACTTATTATGAAAGACATGTCAACAGACTCAGATATTATTTCTTCAGCATACCTATGCTTCAGGAGTAAGACAGTTTTCTTAAAGGAATTGTTAGCTAAGTCCTCTCCAAGTTGAACATAATCTTAGAGACATTTTAGCACTAAGATGTTTTCCTTCGTTTTGCTTACAAGGAGTCCAGGAAAGAACATCATGGAATACACAATTATAAGTTTATGCAAACCAGTTGTAACTTTCTAGCTAAGAATTTCTCTATGACAGCATGTTCTTTTATGAAAAATATTTTTGAGGGCTATGATTTAAAGTTTGGTTTGACTCTGTGGAGTACCAAGAATAAAAAATGTCAGTGATTTATATAATACATTTTCAGTAAAATTTAATGAAGTTAGAGTAAATATTTAGAAAATAATTTTCTCAAACCAGTAGCCAAAAAAAATAGCATAGACTTAGATAAGTCAGGGATAAATTTATTAGTACTTTAAGTTATATGATTATCTTCTTAAAAACTCAAATTAATTAAAATTTAGTAGACACATTTGAGATTTCTATAAATATTATTTTCAAGTCACCAGATTTTCTTAAACCAATAACTGGAACAAAGTTAATGAAAAATGTATAGAAATCCATAAGCACAAAAGGTACTATAGTACTTAGAAATAAATTTAATAAGAAATATGTGCAACCCATGTGAATAAACGATATAATTAATCTTAATTATATTTTTAAAAATTTAAGTAAGGAGATCAACTATTATAACTTTGGATGATAAAAATATCTTTGTGTTACAAAAGCATTAATTTCCCAAAGTTAATTTCTGAAATGAACTGCAATTAAAAAGCCATTTAGATTTGGAGAAGGGGTGTAGTTTTTCTTATATTGATCTGAGTAAATGGCTAGAATGGCCTGCTCTGCTTTTTGTACCAAAACCGAAACAGTACAATAATTAAAATTTTGCAACACTGGCATAAAATTAGACTGTCAATGAAGAGAAATGAAACCTAGTAACAGTCATCTGTATGCATAACAATTATGATTAAAATGCCATATTTAATTAGTGGTAATAAATGGAATAATGATAAATGATACTGGAAAATGAGGAAGGCATTTTTGTAGATAGGAAGGTAGGTAGGGATACCTACCTACCTTCCTATCTACATTCTTACATACATACATGTGTAAGGTTAGCTCCTCCCTCTGATCACCAAAAGTGAACCTCTTTTCTTTTGGATCCTAACATTACCTTTTGGGCCACCCTAAAATTAGTGCTTTCTGTGTGAGATATGTCTCCAACTTTGAACTCATTTAAGAACAGTAGCACTTGGCACTCCGTGAGCCAAAAACATATTAATGTCCCTAATCTTAACAACCAGACAACTCAGGAAATGACTGTGAGAAGAATGCAGATATTTTAGGATAGAGGGTTATAGTCTTCACAAGTTTTCATTTTTGAAATTGTTGTAGATGACATAAATTAAAAAAAAAAGTTTATGTGTCAACATTTCAAATTCATTTATGCAGAATTATATAACACTTGGAAAATTTCCCTTAAACTCCCATGTATGATGAGGACACAAAATTTTACAAATATTTTAAATACACAGTCCTTATAAATTATATTTGTATTTATCCAGAATAAATATCACAAATTCTCAAGGTATATACTAAATGTGGAAAGTTTTTCACTCTGATAGCTTTTCCTCTCTTTCTTACAGGAAAAAAATGAATTTTTTTTATTTTTATTAACTTGCCACCTAAAATCCAAATGATCATTTTCTTATGATTTAAAATATTGTAATGTCGGTCATAGGCCAGTTGCTTAGTGACTTGCTATTACCAGCCCTGCATTGGGTATGCCAAGATAAGATCACACATTACTTATCTAAACTTATCCAAACACATCTACATACTTGCTGGTCGTTTAAATCACCAAACCAATTGAGTTCTTAATCCAAAACTCTGGAAAAAAAAAAGTTGTTGTAGAAAACCTTCTCAAAAGAAATTAACTTGTAAAAAGACGTGACAAATTGATAGAGGACATCTATTATAGATTCATCTTTCACTTCCTCCAAGTTCTAGACTATCTTCCTTTTTCACTTATAAATGGAAAATGGGACAAATGTAAACCCTTACCAACTTCCCACTTCAGAAGGCTGTTGTCTTCCCTCTCCATTTTTCCAATGACATACCAGATACACGCCATCCAGTGTGCAAGGAGCGCAAACATGGACATGAGCAGAGTCAGGACGATTGTGCTATGTTGGGAATAACGGTCCAGCTTCTGCAGGAGACGCAAAAGACGCAGCAGCCGTACAGTCTTCAGGAGATGCACAAGGGAAACCTGTGGTGGGAGACAAGGCAACACAACTTGGCTCAGGGGGTTCGCCTCATGCCGAGACAAGTTCTTGAACTTACAAGCATTCTGGAAAGTTCTTGAAATTAAGTATAATCATGATTCCATGTGTATGACCATTTCTGTATCATCTCTTGACATGTATTAGGAAGTGAAAAGAGGAAGAAGGATGATTGTTTTTTTGTGTGTACTTATCTTCCTTAATTAAGATTTATTTCTTTTTCTCTACCTGTTCGATTGAATATAATTTTATTTATTCTGATACACAACTGAAACACATTATGCTGTCAGGATTTTACATTAGACATCTCATATCTTTAGATACATTTTCTATCAATTCCACATCCCCTCCTCTGTGGAAGGGAATTCTTTATAACAATAATTTATATAGACTGAAGTAAAAGCCTGTGAAGTGGTAATAAAAGTAAACTTAGTCGAGTTTTACAGCTCTAATTATTTTTCAAAATCCTAAGTTCTGCTCACATGTAGAGAAATACCTCCCATTTGATGTGCTAAACCTTCTTCCTTCTAACAATATCAAGAAAGAAAACATTTGTCCCAGCATCTACAATTCTCAAATATATCCAGTGAACCTACAATTCTCAAATATATCCAGTGAACCAAAATCAAAGGGAACAAAATAGTTTAAAAAATCTCCTAGGTTCTGCCTTTGTATGCACTAAAGCATTAGACTAGGAGCTAAAGGTTATTTTCTTGACTTTAGGGCCCAACTGACAAATGTGTACCATTGGCATTCACCAGAATGGTCCCTGTCACTATTAACAACATTGGTGATGCACTAATATATATTCCCTTCACACCTTCAAAGAGCCTCCAAAAATAAAAAAGGTAAATAAAATATTAACTCAATGCAAATAGAGTTTGACTATTTTTTTTTTTTTTACCTTATCTTAGTTTTTGGAGGTAGGGTGTGATAAATAGCATATTTCTTAACTGCTCAAAAATCCTGAAGGGATTTTTATACTTATTTTAGACCTATTTTGATAACTTTCCCAAGGAAGTAATTCATATGATAAGTGATAAACTAGGATGGGTACTTTTGCCTTTTTTACTCTATCATTCTTCTATGTCTCATTCACAACTATCTCTCATAGTGCCTTTCATAGGGCTTGTATATAGTAGGCTTTAATAAATAAATGTGTGATATATAACATTTACCATTAGCAATTGTAGGCAGAACCAAAGCTAACACATTTTTATGGTTGTATTTTTCAGTGTCATCTATAGAGATACATTAACTGGACACATTTGTCTGTTTCTTCCTATTTTTTTTTTTAATATGACTGTGCAGTATAACAATGGTAGATCATATTTATGTTTCCTGGGAAGTAAATATATATTATGTTGAACAGCTTATTCAAACTAGAATATTTCAACCTGATTATTTGGGGGAATATTAAATTTATGTACCAATTTGTTAAATAACCATATCCTTACTCTTGTGAAAAACAAACAAAAAAAATTATCACTGATAAGATTTCTTCATTCTTTCCTCTTTTTCTTTCTGACTCAGATGTTAATCTACAACTTGAATTATTTCTAAAGTATTCATACCAGATTTAACAAGTCAGAATGAGTAACAGAAGGGTACAGGAGTGCAGTGAAAGTGTACAGGTATTTAAAATTCATCAAGAGATTTAAACTTTTTGAAAAATCTTTTATTTCTGTTAATTTTAGTTAACAAGGATGTTGATATGTGAATATGTTATATATTTCTATTTTATATTATATATTTAAAATTGTTTTATTTGTCCAGTGTCCAAAGACAAATGGAATATAAAAATATTATTAGTATCTAGTAGCAAAGAAGTTAATCTAGAGTACAGTCTATTAAACACCATTTATTTAACAATCTTTCAGGATGATTTGGAAACATTTTATTAGTATTTTGTGAATAATATACTCCTTTGTATATATTTTTTTCAGTATAGCAAAAGCCTGGTTTTAAACATTATTAATGTGGATTAACTCTTAACCGGTTACAAATTTGGATTACTGTTAACCGGTTGATAACGCGGATTTTGTAATTAAAGGAAACACGATAATTTCAAGAGAAACATCAAAAGTAATGTGAAAGACACATTAAGCTTTATTCAAAATAATATTGCTAGCTACACATTCCCCCATCTTTCAGGTAATTTGTGGATACCATTACTTTTCTTGTTTTGAGGCAAACCATTCAGAGACCCAATTTTCCAATTCTTAGTATGATTTAAAGTGCTGCTCAGAAAGTGCATGTGCCATCGATCAGAACATGTGGTAATCTGAAGGAGCAAGGTCTGGTGAATAGGCGGGTGGGTTAATACTTCCCAGGCAAGATCTTTTAACGTGTCTTTAACTGGTTTTGAAATGTGTGATGGTGTGTCATCATGAAGCAAAATTACTTTGCCTCATCTTCTCGCCCATTCTTGTCGTTTCACAATTAAAGTGTAGTTCAAATTGATTATTTGTTGTTGGTAGGGATAAGTATTAACAGTTTCACCTTGTTTTAGAAGCTCATAGTACACCACACCTTCCTGATCCCACCAAATGCAGAGCATTGTCTTTTTTCCAAAGCAATTTGGCCTTGCAGTTGATGTTGATGGTTGACCTGGATCAACCCATAATTTTGTGCATTTGGGATTCTCAAAATAAATCCACTTTTCATTGCCAGTTACAATTCAATGCAAAAAATGACTTTCATGCTGTTAAAGCAACATTTTACTGATGACTTTTCAGTTTTCCATTTGTCTTTTGTTCAATTGATGTGGCATCCATTTTCCTTCCTTTGAAATCTTTCCCATTGCTTGTAAATGATCGGAAATTGTTTGCTGAGCAACAGTTAATCTTTCTCAAGTTGTTTTTGAGTTTGACACACATCTTCATCCAATAATGCTTATAATTGTTGGTATTCAAACTGTTTGGTTGACCTGGACATTCTTTGTCTTTCACATTGAAATCATCACTTTTTAAAAAAAATATATATTTTATTGATTTTTTACAGAGAGGAAGGGATAGAGATAGAGAGTTAGAAACATCGATGAGAGTCATTGATCAGCTGCCTCTTGCACACCCCCTACTGGGGATATGCCCGCAATCAAGTACATGCCCTTGACCAGAATCGAACCCGGGACCTTTCAGTCCCCAAGCCAATGCTCTATCCATTGAGCCAAACCGGTTTCGGCTGAAATCATCACTTTTAAAGCATTTAAACCAGCATTTACAAGTATCTTGAGCTTCCCGAAGTATATGATAACTTTCAGTAGCTCTTTTCTTCAAAATAAATTAATGAATTAAAACTTCCTACAAATGGTCTTTTTTTTTTTTTGCACAATGATTTGACATTTTTAAGTGTAAAAATTTTTTTTAATAAAGTGCATGATATTAACACTTTCAGCAAATTTGACATATGAAGTTTGCTGTCGATACAACAAAATAGCATACATATCAAGTCGCATATATATATCAACACGTGTAACTCCCATCTATTGAAAAAAAAATCTGCATTATTAACTGGTACACCTGGTATACTTTCATTATTGTACACTTATTTAATCAAATTCAACCTTAAAAAGCACTTTAAGAAGCCTAGATAACAACTCATGTAGCACTGATTGATATTACACACTAAATTCCCCCAGAGCGTTATTTCAGTTGAGTTATAAACCTCTTAAAGATGTTGACATCCTCACTTCCCAATTTAAGAAAAGAAAAAGAAAAAAATACAATTGTACATGAAATTAGAAATGACAAATATGTACTAAATAGATTATAGTTCAATCTTCATTTTGAAGTTGATACCAATTGTATTTGAAATATTGATCACTTTGTTTAATACTGAAAACTATGCTTTTACATTCTTGATAGGAAATATTTCTACAGGAGTTTGCTAACTGCATAGGAAATATATTTCATTAGAATTAATGGTTAATAAATTTTTTTCCAGTAAAAATTGTTTATGCTAGCACCAAATTGCATTACTGGTCCAAAAATACTATTATACCTCCCCCAAATTCTATTTATTAGACAGCACTTAATCTTGTAAGGATATCAATCATTAAATAGTAAGAGTTGCTATTACAAGTAGGAAATATGTTTTTCCCTGTGAGGAGATATAAGGATAAAGGCTTTTGATGAAGAAAGCGACTTACAAATACAGAGTGTCCCCCAAAATGCATACACACTTAAGAGCTGATAGCTCAATTGATGTTTCTTTTCAGATTTAACCCATTGGAGTTAAGAATTATCCAAATTGTGTACACATTATTTTGAGACACCCTAGATTAATAACAAAGAGAGCTCAAGTTGGTCATTGTGTCATTTAGATTACTGCCTCATGCAACATTTTTACAAAGACTTCCAAAAAGCAGTTGAATGTTCTTATTTTAATTTTAGCATTTTTCTCTATCTTGATTGGTCTTATGTCTGTTTTGCCGATGAGTAATAAAATACCAAGAAGTAAGAATAAAGGTCATAAAAGTAAAAGAAATCTTTAAACTCTCCACCAATCTCTGGAGGCAAATATCTGCCCAAGCAAGATAAAGTGATGCTATAGTTTTATAGATGGCTTCCTTATCAAAGGGTTTGTGTAGTGACTCTATATTGCTGATAAATTTAGACGTTTTGTATATCCTTGTTCTTGGTATTTAAATAACGAGAAGCAGGTAATGCAAATTTCAAGAGAAGATTCTTCCTCAGTGGAGAATTTGACCTGCATATCATTGGGCACCTTGGCATTGTTATTAACAAAGACATAAAATCTTGGTTGCCAAATTGCCACAAATGTTTAAAACCTGAACATGTGAAAAACAAACAAAGGGGTAAAACCAGCCTTCAGGGTCATGTGCAAGGGAGGACTTTTTTTACTCACCACTGTGACGTTGAAAGCATACAGGAGATCAAAAGGCAGAGCAGCGATTAAATCAATGATGAACCAAGTGGTGACATAGTGGATGCAAATTGATCTTGCTTCAAAGATAACTTGGCCAGACTTGCTGACATAGGTTGTTCGGAAATTTAAAATAATATCTGCTTGGAAAAAAAAATGGTAGAGAAGAAGAGGAAGGAAGAGAAGCGAGAATAAGGAAAGACAAAGGGGAACAGTGGAAGGACAAAAGGGAGACAGGCATGGAGGAAGGGAAGAAGACAGAAAATAGTATAAAATTAAGTAAAGTCAGACAAATGGTTACCTCTTAGCATTTTTCAGATTGATAACATCCAAAATAATCTTGGCAGATGCAGTAGAACTTAACAAACGTGTATTAAGAAAGGTAAAAACAGTAATATTTTCTGAGCACTTAATACATTCCAGACATTATGAAGTGACTGCAAAGTTCTGAGTTACATATTAGATGAATTGAAGCTAATTTAAATCATCGAACATAAATGGAATAGTGTTGTATGAGGTTAGAAATTTGTTAATATTATGAGCAAGGATAAATCATACAATAGTGTGCACTTTATATAATTTTTACTTTTCACTTCATATTCACATTTGTGGAAGACAAAATTCCAAGATGATCTTTCAGGATCCTCACCCTCATATTATCTTTTTCCTTGAGTGAGGGTGAAACCTGTGAGCATGCAGAGATATGCAGCCATGATCATGTTGCAGTATATGACTAAAGGTTACCATTGCTGGTCGGGTACCATTATAAGCAGAGTTTTTTTTTTTTCCAGCTGATGGGAAGGGATTAGAAGCCAGTGAGACATACTCTTGCTTGACGGGAAGAAGGCAACTATCTGGGTGAAAAGAGCTACCTGGCAGAGAACAGTAGGCAGTTCTCCAGTTGCTAAGAAGAGTCATTAGGAGACATTAAGTGAGAAATGGAAACCTCAGTCCTACAACCATTAGGAAATTAATTCTTCCAACAGTCACATGAACTTGGAAGAGGATTCCGAGTTCCAGAAAGAACACAGCTGAGCTGACACCTTGATTTCAGCCATGTGTAATTCTGAGCAGAGAATTAAGTTAGGCCATAACTGGACTTCTGACCTATAGAAATGATGAGATAATAATTGGGTGATGTTTTAAGACAAGTTTGTGATGATTTGCTCTACAGCAATAACAAACTAATACAACATTTATTATGTTATTTGACTTTTATAGAATTTGAGGTGAGATAATCTAGGGATTATGACAAGACTGATTACTGTTATGTATTATAGATAACACTTTTGTTCTTAGCATGAACCCAGTAGTATTCTAGGCCCTTTAGAATCCTAAATCTCATTGACTCCTTACAGGAATGCTAAGAAGTAGTCAGTTCCATTAACTCTTTTACAGATGAGAAAAGTGAAGCACTTAAGAGGTCAAGTGACTTGCTCAGGGTCACACAGATGATGTAACCAAAGCACAGGATTAAACCCCTCAGCTAGTTGGTGAAAGAGACAGACTCAACCCCAAGCCACCTAAATTCTGATTCAGCACTTTGGGTATTCCAGACCAATCACATCACTGGTCTGGAAGTTTGTTCCAGGTGACTCAAAACAAAACAAAAGTCGCTCTAGTCTATTTTGAGTACTAACTTCAAAAAATAATATTGTTAAAAGATTATTTCTTTTTGTCAAAACCTATAATTATCAAAATTCTTCCATTGTTAATATTGAGAATATGAAAGGATGAAGCCAGTGGATAAACTACTCTTGGGATAAAATCATCTTGGAATTGATTTCCACTGCAGAGTAAAAATGCTATGATGGCCAAGTACCAAAGCATGGCTCCTCTAAGGAGCACAGTGAAATGCCATGAGGTTGTTATGGTAGCACATGAACTTTTTTTTTCTTTCCCTTTATCTTTCTAGACTCTGCATTAGCAAAGCAATTTAACAAGCCAGACCACCAGCTGCAGAAATCAAGCAGAGATTTCAACTTAATGTTTTCCCAAAGAAAGCCCAGGGTAGGCATTTAGGTTTTCATCTTAGGAGTGAGCGATCCAAATGTTTACCAAGCTTTGGTTTCTAAAACAGAAGCTAAGGTAAGTTTAGAAATTCATTCTAAAATTGAAGGGATACATTTCTTGCATGTTTAACTGATTGCCAGGTCTACCTCACATTTCACAGAAAACCCACTGCCACCATTAACATATGTGAGGCACTCCCACCATTAACATATGTGAGGCACTCCCTAAGTGGAGGAATGAATGGACTGCCCTTTGGTTGATGGGTGCTGCAAGCACTTATAAAGCTATGGGGTTAATCATGTGATTTACTATAAAGTGAAAGAGAAGTGCAGACTTCTAAATAGATAAAATATATTCTGTTGAATAAGTCATTACAAAGTTTAGAAAACTTAAAAAAATAATTTGTTATTCATTTGAGTTAATTGAATGAAGATATGCTAATTTTAGGTTTCAGAAGTAGTCATTAAAAAACATACACAAATACTGATAATCATAACAGAATAAAAGCTGTTTTTTAAAATCTATTTAAAAATCTATGGATATAAATCTATTTTTGAAATATGTAAATACTTTAGATATTTTTTTTGGGGTAACCTAGATATATATTATATTCTAACATTTTCAGGGTTATGGTACTATTGTTGTGCAAACGATCAGTATTATTTTTGAACACTAATTTCTAAAAAACCCATTATGTCACATGATAAGCATAGAAAGTTCTAGTGTATTGTGATTTATAAAACTTTTCACATTTCTTAGTGTGGTTTCCATGCCAACTCTCTCATGTATAATACTATTACTGTCATTTTACCAATGACTCAGGAGATTTAATGAAATCTTCTTAAATTTATGAAGGAGATTTTATATTTTTAAAGTCATGAGCAACAAAGAGACAGAGCATTTTTAGATACTCAGTCCCATTTTCTTATCATTATCTTAAGTATATTTTAGAAGGAATAACAATAGGTTAGTGCAGGAAAATGCAGTCCTGAATGTAGCTGTTAGATCACATTCAACATCAGTACCCCTCAGGTTAAAAAATATAAATTTAAATCAGAGTCATAGAATTGAATGTGAGGAAATGAACTGTTTTTGATTCTGGAAATAAGAGAACTAATTTTTTGTGTAGGGATCACTGAGAATTCACTCTGCTTTCTCTCTACTGAAATGGATGTGGTGTCTAGAAACAGAACTCCATGTTTGTAAATATTCCCTTAAATGGAAGGGCAGAGGTGACTAGTACAAGCTCTTTAAGAGTGAAGGGAGCATAGGACAAAATGATTGTGATGAGAAAGCAAAGAGCTGTCAGATACGTTGTCCCTCATGTGAATCATGGGGGCAAAGTGGAGGCTCAAGAATATTGGGACAGCTGTTCCTCTCTCATAGTTGTCTCATTTCACATGAGATTTTGCATTTTTGGCAAATTAAATCAGGAACTCATTAAAATGTTACAGCAAGAATGTGGTCTCCTGCAGACAATCCACAATTTACCTGAAAGGCAGCAGTATAGTTTTCATTTTGAGGCATATGGAAAGGTCTAAGTATGATGTTTTTCAACTTTTATGTTGAGAAGTACATAAAAGTGTACTCATATCCAAATTTTTGTGTGATTTTATTAATTCTACTTATTAATGTGTGCAACTGTCCAGAAGTATATTACAGAGTTTGAATCAGAAAAACTATTATTACCCATTCTTTATACGATTTATAGAATTTTCAAAAAATCGATCACAATATACCCCACCCAAATGAGGCAGTCTTTGAATTGAATTATATGATGACTCAGGTGCCACTTAATGGTTTTGAAGGATAATCATTTTGTCTTGTATTTTATTTTTACAAAAACATAATTGAAGTCAAGACAAATAATAGACAAATGCATGCATGTTCTGTTTTCATATTGTTAAGGACCTCTAAAAATCAGTGCTTCCTCTCTCTCCCACACTAAATGGCTATGTTTGTGGACTAAAAATCAGAAAGGTTAAACCCATTTTTTATAGTTTGATTTCCTTGAGAACTATGTAATTAGGAAGTACAAAAAAAAGGTTAAATTCAATATGGCACAAATGAGTAGATTTCTTTTCTTTATTAGCATGCATGCCAGATGGGAAATAATTTTAAAATCATATTGGCTTACTCGTTAAAAAGTAAATTAAAATTTAATTGTGTGCATGAGAGCATATGCACCACATACAAATAATTAATATCTTCATTTAGCCATTCCTTTAAAAATTAATCAATGTAGTTCAGCGCGGGTAAAGAGATATTTCACTAAACCAGCTGCCAGACTAATGTTCTAAAGATGGCTTGTGAGGTTCTCCTTTCAATACTATATGATGTCTAAAAATTTGAGCTACAAGATGTGGGAAGAATGAATAATAGAGAGCTGATTAATGAAGAGGCTTGTGGGACTAATAATCCTAAGAATGACTGTAATCAATTGCCAATATTAGCAGATGAGATTTTCAGACCACTCAACCTTTGCTTATCTTGTCAGCATTTGTCCCTTTTGTTTACCTTAAAGTGAAAGATTTAAAGAAAAAGAAAGGGCAGCAGACTCAGTGAGAAATAGCATTTAAGAGCAGCAAACTTAGTGAGAAATGGAACAAGAACAATTGCATTTAGAAGAAAAGGTGAAGCTAAAAGAGGCATCCAGGTGGATTGAGGGGTGGCTGAAGCTGGCATTGGCTTCTGTTTTATTGGCCAATGGTACCATGGTGTACTCTTATCTGAGTTTGACCATCAATATCAGCATCCCATTAACCCACATAGGAGGGAAGAGACTTACAAGTCCTCTATCCTAATGTCTTCAAACACAGGCACTCCATCCATGTCAACCTTCATAAGGATATGGCCAACCAGACTTTGAATGCCCCCCACATTGGTAAGCTCCCTGCCTTTTGAGAGCCCTTAGTTTGACATGCCCATCACTAAGTTGTTCTGCCTTTCCTCAAGATAGCACCTGTAGCACCCTTTCCTTGGCTCTAGTTTCATCCTGAGCAGCAACACAGAATATGCTGTCCTCTCCTACCCCAAGGCCCTTTCCATATATACTCAAGATCAGTTACCAAATTGACTGTTCCTCAGGATGAATATATCCATTTCTTCCTACTGTTTCCAGCTGATA